GAACACTTGTTTTAATAACGCTCCCAAGTGTTCATGGATGCTTGGACCAGGAGACTAGATTTGGGCCAGTCAGACTCCACCACTTGAAGCTGCAGTGACATCTACAAAAAGGAGATGGGTAGCACGCCCTCCCAACTCCCTCCTCCCCCCCTAGCCCCAACACTACTTTTAAGCAAAACATAAAAAGCAAACCAAAGCAGATAGGTTTTTCAAATTCATAGAACCATGACTACTCTGCTATTTTTAGATGGAGGTGTGGGAGGTATGCATTATAACTATAAAGTGAATTAAGGACAGTGTTTATGAAACAACACTTCAAGACACTGAAACACTCGGTAAAGACAAATCTGGTAAGGAAACAGAATTCTGCTTTTGCTATTCTCATGACACTATTAACTCTTTTGGTAGTTTCAAGTGTCAAAGCAGCAGTTCAGTCCTATGATGTGATCAACTCCCTGAGACACTGTATGTGGCACCCTTTAAGTAATTGTTACCAGTTTAGACTTTGATCACGTATTTATATTCATTAGTTGTAAGACCACCCCCATTTTTTAACCATGGAATTACATCTTCTTAGTATTGTTGTTTGTTTAGATAAACTTTTCAGTTTTTCTTTTAAACTGATGAACAGTTGTCTTGGTTTTAGCTGAGACAGAGTTAACTTTCTTCGTAGTAGCTGGTATAATAATACTGTATTCTGGATTTAGGATGAGAATAATGTTGATAACACACTGATGTTTTAGTTGTTGCCAAGCAGTGCAACACAAAGTCAGGGACTTTTCAGCTGCTCATAGAGAAGGCTGAGGTTGCACAAGAAAATGGGAGGGGACACAGCCAGAACAGCTGGCCAAAGTGATATTGCATACCTTATGACGTCATAGTGAAGAATAAAGCTGGGGGGAGTTGTCCAGGAGGGTGGCTGCTTGGGGACTGGCTGGGCATCAGTCAGTGGTTGGTGAGCAATTGCATTGTACATCACTTGTTTTCTGTATTCTTTTATGATTGTTATTACTGTTTTCCCTTCTGTTCCTGCCTTATTAAATGGTCTTTATCTCAACTCAGGAGTTTTTACCTTTTTCAGTTCTGTCCCCCATCCCAGTGGGGTATAGTGAGTGAATGTGATATTTAGCTGTGGGCTGGGTTAAACCATAGCATGCCCAGCATGGGGCTCAAAGGGTTGAGATAATGACAGATCTGCCCAGATTCATTAAACATGAATTTGTTATAAGCATTTGGTTATATTTTTTTAGTAGTCCCTGGTAACGATATTGATTTATTTGCTCTTAGAATAGTTGTGCTTGTTCTCAGAGTTGTGTTGTGTAACTTGCTATATATGCAAGTATACATACATATATATATATGTCATTGTGCTGTTTATCACCTCTGGGGCTGGATTAAGGCGATCATTTTGCTGTACTATGTGACACTGGTTTATGATCTGATAAAATGACTGGTCATGAGACTAATCTGGTATTTGTATTATTTCCACTACCTCTATACTTTGGGAACCATATCTCACAAACTATTAATTATTACACCTTGGAGAGCCAAATCTGTGGGGAAGACAAGGGGGAATGCTTTCCCTTGCTCCTTCACCTTCACCCCATGCTAGTTACAATAGCTCTTGAGAATTTTTGAATATCCTCAGGATGTCCAAACCAGCATGTTCCTATTACTATATCTCCTGAACGTATTTGAAGTCTTGTTTAGGTTTAAACTATTTACAAATACTACCAAGAGATCTGCCTCAAAGCTGGGTAATTAGGAGTGGCAGGATGTCTGGAATAGTATGGGCAAGTACCTAGAACAGTGGGCATCTCCAGTGTTTTGGAACCTCACCCCCAAGCAAATGCAGAATCCTGAAGAACTAGTGAAAATCTTTTTTAAAAGTGTGCTGTCACCCTGGCAATTCCAGAGAGACAAAAGTCATTGCAGCTTCCTGGGGCCTAGCCCATGCCTACCGAACCCTGTTGAACACTACTCAGTACCTTCAAGGAGAATAGGTGGTCTCTGGATCTGAGACAAAATGACAGGCATTGTGGCTAGTTCAACTCTGGCAACAGGCACTGCAGCTGAACCAGAGCACCAACCCATGCCAGTATCAGTTGCCCCTATATACAAGAATAAATATGGGATGCAAAAGTCAGATCAGTTAGTGAGGGAAGAAAGTTGTGCTGGGAAGGGGAAGAAGGAAAAAGTGGATGACAGGCTGCTCTGAAGCAGGGCCATCACAAGAGGAGGAGGAAAAGGCAGAGCTCACAAGTGAGGTGGTAACCACCTTATCCATGAGTGAGCTGTGAGATATGCAAAAAGATTTCAGATGTTGCCATTGTCACTTGTCTGCTCCAATGCTGGGCTAACAGGGCTACTAGCCTGGAATTAGAGAGCAGGGAAGGCAAGCAGCTGGAATCCCTTTTAAGGGAATGAGGTGTTGACAAAATTATTGGAAAAGGGGCACAAGCCCTCAGCCTCTGGAGGTGAATCCTATCATGCATGAAGGAAAGGTATCCCGTCAAGGAAGATGTTATATGTCACCCAAGCAAGTGGACCACCCTCGAGAGAGATATTCAGAACCTGAGGGAATGAGCCATGCTGGAGGTGATTTATGATGACCTGAAAAATTAGTATTTATCCAAAGATCCAGATTAATTCAACTGCACACAACCCACATGGTGGAAGCTTGTGTTCAGAGTTTACCATTGTCCTCTGCCAACTCATTGGCAATAATGACGTGGAAAGATGGAGAGGGACTATCAGTGGATAAATGGACTGGCCAACTCTGGCAATACAAATAAAGTCTTTCTTTCTCCCTATGGAGGAAGCCATCTTAGCTGTGGAAAAACTGTCCTGGGAGTTCCAGCAATTCCAAGAGGAATATATGGAACACCTGCAGTACATTGATGACATCATACTATGGGGCAACATGGCAGAAGAGGCTTTGAAGAAGGGAAGAAAATAGTCCAAATCCTTTGGAAAGCCAGTTTTGCCAAGGGACCTGCACAGGGCATCCAGTTTTTAGGAATAAAATGGCAAGAGGGGTGTCATAGTATCCCAATGGATGTGATCAACGAAATAACGCTCTGCCTCCACCAGCTAGCAAAAAGGAAGCGCAAGTGTTCTTAGGTATTGTGGGTTTTTAGAGAATGCATTTTCCAAATTACAGTCTGATTGTAAGCCCACTCTGTCAAGTGATCTGGAAGAAGAATGATTTAAAATGGGGCCCTGAGCAACGACAAGCTTTTGAACAAGTTAAATGGGAGATAGTTTATGCAGTAGCACTTAGGCCAGTCTGGGTAGGACAAGATGTAAAAAGTGTCCTCTACACTGCAGCTGGGGAGAATGGCCCTACCTGGAGTCTCTGGCAGAAAGCAGCAGGGGAGACACAAGTTTGACCCCTATGGTTTTGGAGTCAGGTATACAAAGGATCCAAGGCCTGTTATATTCCAACTGAAAAAGAGAGATTGGTGGCATGTGAAAGGGGTTCAAGTTACTTTGGAATTTATTGGTTCTGAAGCAGAGCTCCTCTTGTCACCTTGAGTGCTGGTGCTAGGCTGGATATTCAAAAGGAGGGTCCCCTCAACACATCATGCAGCTGATGCTACATGGAGTAAGTGGGTTGCACAGATCACACAACAGACTCAAAGAGGAAACCACAGTCACCCAGGAATCTTGGAAGTGGTCATGGGCTGGCTGAAGGGCAAAGGTTTTGGAATATCACCAGAGGAGACGGTGATGTGTGCTGAAGAGACCCCGCTATATAACAAACCACCAGAAAATGAGAAGCAATGTGCCCTCTTCACTGACGAGTCCTGTTGTATTGCAGGAAAAAATCAGAGGTGGAAGGCTTCTGTGCAGAGTCCTATATGAAAAGGCACAGAAACTGCTGAAGGAGAAGGTGAATTGAGCCAGTTTGCAGAAGTGAAGGCCATCCAGCTGGTATTAGACATTGCTGACCAAGAAAATTGAGCAGTGCTCAGTCTCTATACTGACTCATGAATGGTGGCAAATACTCTGTGGGAGTGGTTAGAGCCATGGAAACACAGCAGTTGGCAGCATGGAGACAAACCCATCTGGTCTGCCTCATTGTGGCAAGATACTGTTGCCTTGGTAGGGCACCTTGTTGTAAAAGTAAGTCATGGAGATGGCTACCTTACCCAAAAGTTGAGCCACCGAAGGACATGAAAACAACCAACTGGTGGGTCAGGCTACTAAGATTGCAGTGGTTCAGGTGGACCTGGATTGGTAACATAAGGGTGCATTATTTGTTTCTCAGTGGGCCCAAGAGACCTCAGGCAATCAAGGAAGAGATGCAACATACAGATGAGCTTATGATTGTGTTGGACTTGACCATGGACACATTTTCATGTGTTTATATGAACAACAGTTATTAAGCATAAACAAACATGAATAATTCATCTAGATTACAGACAGTCCTGCTTCCTTTTCCCTTCCCAGTATTAATTCCATGTCCATTATCCTAAGAAAAGCAACAGCAAAACCCCAATTATTTGTGAAGGATTCTGTCATGGTTGCTTAGCCTCAGAAAGGTGGCTTGGCCTAACTAAGCTTTAGATTGCTGAATTAAGAGTTTATCAATGCAGTTCTCAAGATAGATCTTCATAAAGCTAAAGCTGAGAAAAAAGCTGATTGAGGATGAAATGATTGAACTGTTTCTTCATGTGGACAGGAACATTCCAAAAAGAGAACACAGCCCCCTAGCTAGTTAGGTGTAATAGTCTTGGTGTAAGATCAGCAATTAACAGTATATGTGAAGGTGGATGCACAAGCTTGTTCTTCTTGTGCCTGTGCATCTGTTGGAGCTAACAGTGTGGTTTTAATTCCCATACCTTTCCTTCAAACAAGCTGTTCTTTTCATCCCTGTTGGTGGTGGCTTAGCCAATTTATGAAGTACAGAGGGATTGGATGTGTTAATTTCTAATAGCATTTTATATAAGGCAACCTATAACTTGTTGTTGTTCTTTTTCAGGAGCATCAGAATCATGGAGGGGCTTTTGCATTACATCAATCCAGCACATGCCATTTCACTTCTAAGCGCACTGAATGAAGAGCGTCTAAAGGGACAGCTGTGTGATGTTGTTCTTATAGTAGGAGATCAGAAATTTCGAGCTCACAAAAACATTCTGGCTGCCAGCAGTGAATACTTCCAATCTCTGTTCACGAATAAGGAGAATGAGTCTCAGTCAGTGTTTCAACTTGACTTTTGTGAGCCAGATGCTTTTGATAATGTGTTAAACTACATTTATTCTTCATCCTTGTTCATTGAGAAAGGCAGTCTTGCAGCTGTGCAAGAACTGGGCTACAGTCTTGGAATATCTTTTCTTACAAACATTGTTTCTAAGAGTCCTCAAGCTCCTTTTCCAGCTTGCCCTATTAAGAAAATACTGTATCAAGATGAAGACGAAAGTAGTTCTCAGAAAAGAAGTGTCATTGTCTGTCAGAACAGAACTGAAGCACAAGGGAAAAGTGTAAATCAAACACAACATGATTTAAGCCATACTTCTAGACCTTCACCTTCTGTTGCTTTCAAGACTACAAGTAGACCACAAATAACAAAACCAACTGAAAATCTTCACAACTTACCACTGACTGAAAGGAGGTGGCTGAAGGAAAATGCTGTGAACTATACCAAGCTTCATGAAACTTCTGGAACTGTGGAAGATCAGAGCAGAGGTAGTTTAGTGAAAAGAAACACAGTACTGCCTCAAATGCCTTTAGCAGAGAAAGACATTGCAAGCAGTGAACCAGGAAGCAGTGGTCAGCTTTTAAGAGGAAAGACTGCAGAGATGTCATTAAAAAGACCACGTCCACCAGTCTTGTCTCTGCGTGGTGCATCAGAATCTACATTTTTGTTGCAAGAGGCAGGAAAAGGAAATGGTCAAGGTGAAGACAGGAATTTGTTATACTACTCAAAGTTAGGGCTAGTAATCCCATCTAGTGGATCTGGTCCAGCAAACCAAAGCATTGACAGAAGTGGGCCACTTGTAAAAAGTCTCCTTCGAAGGTCACTGTCCATGGACAGCCAGGTTCCTATTTACTCACCTTCTGTTGACCTAAAACCTTCACAGGTATCATCATCCTCCTCACCGGGAACTAATGATTCCCAGAAGACATTTAATGTTGTATCTCAAAAGTCATCCTTGAAAGAGTCATCAGAGAAGTTAGTTATAGATGAAAAACCACAGGTAATACACCCGCATCGCCTTAGATCTTTCAGTGCCTCTCAGTCAACTGATAGGGAGGTGGCTTCCCCTCTCACAGAGGTGCGAATAAAAACCAGTGAGTGATGCTTCAACATCAACAAATAAAGACTTCCCTTTTAAAACTGAGGATGATAACAATGAACCAAGTAGACTTCCAGCAAAAAGGAGATTTCAAGCTGACAGAAGACTACCATTTAAGAAACTAAAGGCAGATGAGCAGGGATCTCCTGGATCAGAAGATAACTTTGAGGAAGGTTCAAGTCCTACACACCTTGATGGTGATTTTCCTGATTCTGATGTCAGTAAAGATGAATACAGCGAGATGGAAGAAGCAAGACCAAATAAAAAATTTAAATGCAAGCACTGCCTTAAAATTTTCAGATCAACAGCAGGCCTTCATCGTCATGTTAACATGTATCATAATCCAGAGAAGCCCTATGCTTGTGATATATGCCACAAAAGATTCCACACAAATTTCAAAGTGTGGACACACTGCCAGACACAACATGGAATTGTGAAGAATCCATCACCAGCTTCCAGTTCGCATGCTGTTTTGGATGAAAAATTCCAAAGAAAATTGATTGACATAGTGAGAGAGAGAGAAATCAAAAAAGCTTTGATTGTTAAACTAAGACGTGGCAAGCAGGGTTTTCAGGGACAGTCTGCTTCACAAGCACAACAAGTCATCAAAAGGAATTTAAGATCAAGAACCAAAGGAGCCTACATTTGTACCTACTGTGGGAAAGCTTATCGTTTCCTCTCACAATTTAAACAGCACATAAAAATGCACCCAGGGGAGAAACCAGTTGCAGGAAATAAGGCTCCTAAGCAGAAAGATCATATTCATATTGAAAATCCAGTAGAAAACAAAGAAGTTTATCACTGCAGTCTCTGCAATGCTAAGCTCTCTTCACTTATTGAACAGGGAAATCATGAGCGACTGTGTAGAAATGCTACTCTCTGTCCTTACTGCAGCCTTAGATTTTCTTCTCCAGAGCTGAAGCATGAGCATGAAAGCAAGTGTGAATACAAGAAACTTACTTGTCTTGAGTGTATGCGTACCTTTAAATCATCCTTTAGTATTTGGCGTCATCAAGTTGAAGTTCACAATCAAAACACAATGGCTCCATCAGAGAACTTTTCTTTACCTATTCGGGATCACAATGGAGAAATAACTAGTTCATCAAGATTGCCTCCTCAGTTAGAATCCAATAAAATGAACAATTTTGTTGCTGCAAAGGAAGATGGTGTATTCAGTGATTCATCAGAACAAATAAATTTTGATTCTGAAGATTCTTCATGCCTACCTGAAGACTTAAGTGTTTCCAAACAGTTTAAAATTCAGATCAAAGAAGAGCCTGCAGATGATATAGAGGATGAGGTCACTGAACCAAGCAGAGAACCTAAAGAAGCAGTCTCCAACAAAGATGCTGGTCTGTGGCCCTGTGAAAAGTGTGGGAAGATATTCACTCTACGCAAACAGCTGGAGCGTCACCAAGAGCTCTTATGCTCCGTGAAGCCATTTATTTGTCATGTGTGTAACAAGGCCTTCCGAACCAATTTCCGGCTGTGGAGTCACTTCCAGTCTCATATGTCACAGGCTGCAGAGGAGTCCACAAATAAGGAGCCTGAGATATGCCCACCAGCTAATTCCCCATCACCACCACCCTTACCTCCACCCCCGCCCCTCCCCAAAATCCAGCCTTTGGAGCCTGATAGTCCAACAGGCTTGTCTGAAAGTTCCACTACTACTGAAAAATTATTTGTACCACAGGAGTCGGATACACTCTTCTATCATGCTCCACCACTCTCAGCAATCACATTCAAAAGACAATACATGTGTAAACTCTGTCATAGGACTTTCAAGACAGCTTTTAGTCTTTGGAGCCATGAACAGACACACAATTAGCTTTAACAGATACCTTAAGAAGCTGGTGGAGTGGAGGCTGTATTTAGGATCTCAGATGTATGCCATATAATGTAGAAACTTCAGAGGATTAAAACAACGATGATGTTGAAAAATGTGGTATTTGTGATGATGCTTGGATTTGAAGATTAAGGTAAACCAACTTGGTTAGTAAGTAGAAAGCAGAGTAATTTAAAAGTCTGTGGTCTGGGGTCGAATAGTAACAGAATAATTTTTATTTTCAACACTGAAATACAATCACATCTGGACTGTGTGCATGGATCTTCATCCTGTGATGTTGGTGTGTGTATGTGTATTATATATAAAATTATATATTAAATGAGAGAGCAACAACAATTTGGATTCTAACTGTGAGTTTATAGTAATGAAATACTGTAACCAACTTCATTTTTTTATTAAAGAAACCAACACATAAGCTCCATATAAATAATTGCCATGTACGTGCAGTGCGGGAGGAAATGGATGGAGTGTCTTGCTGTATTGACATAGGTCTTATAAACCTTTAGCAATAACAAATAAACCTCAAGTTTGAGTAATCCTCATGTTATTGGATATGAATGTTTGATATTTTAAGGGAACATAGAATTGTTTTGTTGATATATGGAACTTGTGCAAATTAAAATAGGATCTAAACTCAGCAATATTATTACTAAGATTTTATATAAAAAGTAGCAGCAAGCCTGCTTTCAGCCATTTAACTATAAGTTTCTAAAGAAAATTGGGGGAGAGGGTACTTTGCTTTTTATGATGTCCCAAAGACTAATTTACTAGATACTTTGGTAGCTAAAGTCATTGTATTAATAGCTATCATAATGCAAATGGTACTGTTTATAACGTGAACTAAGATTGAATGGATGTCAGACAAGTTTCATAATTTTGTTTCCACTATTTGTACAACTGTTTGTAATTCTAACTACAAAGGAATGTATAACTATTAAATAAAAAAAAAAAAAATAAAAAAAAAAATTAAAAAGAGAGCTCATTAAGGGACAGAAGATTGTGTTCCTACACACAGTAATAAGCTTGGCCATGAGTACAAAGATATGTTTTAACAAAAACTTAAAGTGTAAATATTTATATAGATATCTGTATAAATGAAGAAGTATGTATTTGAAAATTGTATTAAGCATACATATCCAGCTCAAGCAGAGGAAAACATCACACTACAATCACTGCATATTATAAATACAATGCATAGAGTATTTCTTTCTGCCGCTTTCTGTCATTTGTGGTACTGTGTTGCAATTTTCTGATTTGTTGAATAATGAGCTGCATATCTTTAATGCAGTTCCATTATTTTACCTCTAATCACAACTGGAGCATTTAGTGTAAGTAGGATCATTGATATTTACCAGAATCTATAGTAAGGGTCCAAAATGATTCTGTAAGTAAAAGAAATATTTACCACGAAGTAGGTGGTAAACTTAACAGTGAAAAATTATTCTGGTATAAATTAAACTTAATGGAGTGGTGATGGATTAAAGTGAACACAAATGATGCAAACAGTATTTATGATCCTGACCAACTTGACCCCGTGGGAGTTGGGAGAGCAGGGATTGCATTGCGTGCTACCCAGTCAGAGACCAGTCTGTTCACTGAAAGCAACAGGAGTTTGACCACCAGTTTCAGGGGGAGCAGGAGTGAGGCTTTTAATTGTATATGTAACCATGACATATTTTTCAGCATCCCAAACTCAAAAAGAATTGGAAGCTGACACTAAGATTTAGCAAAATAAATTGCAAGTGTAACTCCTAAGGGTGGGCATTCTTAGGCACACACAGGAATAGGTTATTCTCTGTGAGAGCCCAAGTGTGCCACCATTGTTTTCCAACATTATTTCTTTCCTGTAAGTTAAGTTTAAAAGAATGGGCTCAGAATGGACCACTGACTTTTTTTTGAGCCACGGAAAAAATGCAATGTTAGTTTCAAGCCTCTTCTGTTTATTTTTTAATTAAACTCTTAACATTGTTACTAAACATATCAAATAGTAATTTTGTCATCTTTCTGTCGAATTGTATCTGAGTATGATTATGCTAGTTTGTTAAAATAAACTCTTCAGTGACATTGCAATTGAAACAAGGTACATGTTTAACAGTGACATTTCTAGTTATTAACCTCTTTATTCCTCCTAATAAGACTAAATTTCTTTCTTTCTTACCAGAAACAATTTCAAAATGAAATGGTCGTTGCACTGAACCTGGTTTAACAAAATCAGAAAAACATAAAGCTTTGCTAAGTATCCTTTAAATATATCTAAGAAATCTGTGCATATAAAATATGAACGTTTTTGTAAAATGGTTCCTAAGTTTTCACCAATGATTCTTCTACGTAACAGTCTGAGACTTTATATGTAGCCTTTCAAAAATATGGTGGCAACTAGTTCAGCTATGTCATAGTCATCTAACTTCCAATCGGGATTCTGCTATGTGAGATGGTGATAAATTCCACACACTTAAAATCAAAAGCTTGTACAACATCTTTGACAAAACTTTGACCTTTTTCCTACTATAATATGTATTATAAAAAAATCCATACAATATTTTTTGTCTAAAAAGCCTCCTTCTGAGTTTTTCTTTAATTGTTGGGGGCGATTAATTTTGAGTTTGTTATGTGGTTTTGTTTTTTGTGATGTTGGTTTTGTTTTAAATTCAGTTCCTGTTGTTTGGTAGAGGAATTCAGGATCTCTGAAGTTTAAATATGAGATGTTTATATAGCAATTCTGGTTTTCTATTAGCTTTTATACAGTATCTTAAAAAACCCTTGATATAAGTGTTTATTTTGGAGGATACAGAATAAATATGCGTCCACTTATATAACTTTAATATATGTTTTAAAAATTAAATTATGGAAAAAAATGTTAGTTGCTTGTTTATAAATAAAGGTCTTTTGAAGAGTGTCTAGTTTGGCTGCAGCCAAAATAAAAGGCAAATTTATTAATACTAAAACATGTTTTCATCTTATTTTGTAGCTGTGTACAGCTGTGTAGGGGTCTTGTTAAATATAAAAAAGTGTGTTGCTTTTTTTCTTAAAAATTGTGACAGGAATGAGCAGATGTTTTAATATATAGATTAGAATCTTTACTTTTTTCCTTTTTTAAAAATTTTGTAATCTGTCAGATATATCTCAGAGAACTATCCTGCTTCAGTGGATGTACAGTGGAAACTTCCATTGCATTTAAGAGGAGCAGGGTTGAGCCATGAAATGTATTTTCTTTGGGGACTTATTTTCCCTTCAACACTGTGTTGGCAAAGCGTCTTAAGCCTATGGTTAAGTCCCATTCAGATCAGTCTTAAATTTTTTTTAAACACGTGCTTACGTTCTTTGCTAAATTGGGACCATGATCAACCATTGAAAGTGAGCAATGGCAGAAAAATACATTATTCTTTTTTTTTTAAGTCCTAGAACCAAAAGTTAAAATTAGTTTTCCTCTACCTAAAAACGGCATATACAGCTAAGGTAAAGATCTGTAGTTTTACAAAAACAAAGAAAGTGAATCAGTTTGGGGTTTTTTGTTTTGTTTGTGGTTTTGCTTGTGTTTTTTTTTTGTTGATTTTTTTTTTTTATCTGATAAGGAGGAATGAAACACCCTGTGACAGTTAACTGAGCAGATAACCTGCTGAAGCAGTAAGTGACACTAGAGTTTGTGTATTTCAAAATGGAAAAGTAGCCTTATTGGTGAACCAAAATACTGCTGAAAGACACTTCTTCCTGCATTTCCTATTCAGGCAAGCCTCCCAGTCACATCCCGTACATTTTTTGCTCTGACTTTGTTTCCCCCCAAGTAGGGCATGTGGGTTTGGTCTGAAGCTACATGTACTCTGTTTTTGTTCCAAGCTTCCAGTGATAAAACCAGAAGGTCCTCACATGGGATAAGGACAGACTATGCTTACTTTCTTGGCACTAATAGCAAGGGTGCAAATATATGGCATGAGCCTGTAGTCTGGCATGTGCCTATACTGTTCAAGAAAATTGTTTACATTTTCCTACCAGATTTAGATAAAAATCAAAGCAAGCTTAGGATTTGAGGCTGTTAATGAATCAATGTTAACATCTTTTTTTGTTTGTTTGTTTTTGTTGAACACAGCCTGGTAGTATTTTTTAATGTCATTGGTTCTTGTTCATTTAAAATGACTTGTGAAAAACTGTACTATAACTTATACATAAAGGGACACTATCAAGAGAAAGGTTGTATACAATAAATGTACTTACCTGTATTAAGAATACTTGATATTAATAAAATCAAAGAATTAAAAAAAACGTTAATTGAGTCACAGCACTTGAGCTGCTTGGGCATGAAAGTGCCTGTTAAGTGCATCCTCAATTGTTGCAAGGATGTCTGGAAAATTGTATCTGAATTCTGTGGGCTGAGCTCATTGTTCATGTTTCTTTTTCTCTCACTATTCCAGAATAAAGGACTTGGTCCATTTTTCCTTTTCCAGTTTCTCAGTGGTACACATTACCTTTTAAAGAGACAAGCTTCCCACTACTGCAGCAGCAACTTTAATTAATATATGAACACAAAACCAGGACAAACTATTTTTTGCATTGTAACATATGAAGTACACATTTTAAGGCTTATTCTTGACAGTGTCCCTTTTTAAAAAGCAGGAAAATGGGATCACTCTTAGAGCTTGGGTGCAGGGGAATAGTTTCCTACAGTCTCTAGAAATTGGAATTATCCAATGTATTTGCTATAGAATTTTCCAATTGGTTACACAAAATCACTTGTCATTTTAAAGGATTATAGCGGTAAGACAAAAGAAGCTGGTTTTATAATCCTGTATACCTTATGGAAATTGTATATCAGTTCAATACACCAGTGTTGAATTTTAATTAAGGATGGGTTTTTACTTTTTTAGGACTGAGAATTAACAGCTTAGGGTAACTTTTTCTTTGATGTAATGTAAATCCATTGCTGCTTTGTACAACTTTTTCTACTTTGTGTTTTCTTTACTTAGATCTTGACTAGGAAATGTTGGCATCCAATAAACTTACACTTTCTTTCTTTTGAATTACTGTGTCTTCTACTGGCATCTCTTGGCAAAGTGGGATGTTATTGTACATTCTATTTTGTCTGTGGGAAGGGAATTCTGTTTATAAAAGAGCATCTTTTAATCTGTTTGTTGATGTAAGTGATAGTTTTCACCTTTACTGAAATAATGGGGTTTTGTTTGTTTTAATAAGTGCCCACCTGAACCTTTTACTGGAAAAAGAAAAAAATAAATAAATAAAATGATCTGCTGTAGACAATCTCTTTAAAACTTGAGCACAGCCCCAATTCTGCTT